ATCCTCACCAATGCACGAATAGCTATGCTAGGGCTTGTGGGTTTGATAAGATCTGTTCTCTTCATTCTGCCTATGCCCCTGACGCTGAGCAGGCTGCCATACTGTGACAACCACTTTATCCCCTACATGCACTGTGAGCACATGCTTGTGGCAATGATATCGTGTGGGGATATCACATTCAACAGGACATACAGCTTGGTGATACCATTTGTACTCATGGGGTCAGATCTGATGCTCATTGCTCTGTCCTATGGTCTCATCATTAGGGCCGTCTTCAGAATCTCCTCCAAGGAAGCCCACCAGAAAGCCTTCAGCACCTGCACAGCCCACATCTGTGTGATGCTGATGTCTTATACTCCTGTCTTCTTCATTAGCCTGACACGCCGGTTCAGTGAGGGCATTGGTCCCCATGTTCTCATGATCTTGTCCGACCTCTATCTCCTCATTCCTCCTATGCTCAACCCTATCATTTATGGGGTCAAAACCCAAGAGCTTCGTGAGAAATTGGGCAAATACACTTGCAGAAGGTGATCACTGGAGGCCACTGACTTTCAAACTGTGTGACAAGAGGGTGAAAGGATGCCTCCTCATTAATCAAGGGTGCTGTCACAGTTTGGCTGAGCTCAGCACTTTAGAAGTTCACAGTCTGAGAAATTCCTCTCATCTAATATCTTAGCACTCCATCACCAAGCACTGCACTCTCTGTTGCTATGTTCCCTCTCTTTGACCATCTTCCATCCTCTTTCATTGTCACGCATCAGCCCTCAACCCCACACATAATGTCACTCGTCCTTTCTGTAGCTCCTAGACTACCAGAAGATACTGCAGATTTCCGATGCAAGGTGGCTTTCCCTTAGTCCCTGTGTGAACAGTATTCCTGATCAGTTTGATTAACAGAAGCTATAGACAAGCAGAAAAGAAAGAAACTACAATGCTGAATTTCTCTATCATACTTATAGTGATCCAGTGAGCAAATTTTTTTTCACGTCCAATCCTTCAGGAAACCCATCAGATAAACCATGTAA